CTCCGTGACGTGGCGGCCCCCGGGGAGCCCACGGGGGTTGTCCCGTCGTTCCCGGGGACCCCCACGGTTCCGCGCGCGGGAGGGTTCCCCGGGGCCCCCGCGGAACCACGCTGGCCGCGCCGAGGCCCGTGTGCGTCCGTGCCGGTCCGTGCGTGTCGGGAGGTTTTCTCTGCCGGCCACGTCCCCTTCCCCAGCCCCGGGCCGTGTCCTCGCGCCCCTGGCCGGTCCGAACCGAGGAACTCGCTTCCCCGCTTCCTCTGCGGCCGTCCCCGGGCGTTCGCACCGGCCAGTCGCTCAGCCCACCCCCGCGAAGGCGTCGGGGAAGGCCCCCCGGGAAGAGCGGCTTCAGCGCGCTCGCTTCCCGGCCCGGGCTGCGTTCGGGCCCCAGCCGTTTCATTCTCCACCACGTTGGAGGAAACGCTGCGCGGCGGCCGTTGGGGGCTGCGAGCACACGGGCTTGCTCCGAGCAGCGTGGTGCCTCCTCGTGGCCCAGCTCGCCCTGGGCCTCGGGCTCCGCGGAGGGTGGGGTGCTGCGCCGCGCTCTCCGGTCGGCTCCGTGCGGAGCGAGGGGGCGCGCCTCCCAAACATCCTTCTGAGGACCGCGTGGAAACCTAATTCGGCCTGGGCTCCCCCGATGGGCCTGCCTTGCCCACATAACTCACCTCTGCAGACCTCCTCTCCCAGAGAATGCCCCTTGATGAATCTGCGCACTTTGTGTACGTTTTCAGGGAGTTCAGAGCCCCTTCCCCCAGCCCATCCATGGACTCCTTTAAATTTTCCCACTCATCCTGTGGAGTAGGTATTGTTGTCCCTACTTTGGAAAGAACAGAAACTGAGACACCAAGGAGTTAAGGGTTTTCTCAAAAATAATATAGTCACTCAACTGAACAGTCCCAGTCGCACTCCCATCCCTGATCCCGATCCACCTGCCTTCCTCTGCTTCATGTTGCACTACAGGAAGTAAAGCCTGCCTGTCATTGTAAACAGCTAACGTTATTTCCCTTTTGCAAAGCATGTGCGGGCTGGAAAGAATTTCCAGGATATTTAAAATGAGAACAATGAAGATACTTTAGAAAATATGAATATAAAATGGTGGGATACCAGGTAGACATAATCCCTTGTTTCCATGCGGGTTGATCTATCAGTTCCTTTGATTCTTGCCGTCCAGTTGCTTCAACATTCCCTGATTCGAGGTGCTATAAATTATGAGCAGGCTGGTTGCACAGAGGGAGCCTCTCCTTAAAGAATAAGTGCTTCCAATGGGTATTGAACCTGTGCTGTGTGCCCAGCTCTGTTCTTTGGGCCTTCCTCTTAGAATGACAAGTTAGGTACTATCGTTTTCCATATTTACAGTTGAGGACATTGAGGAAGGGAGACGTTAAGTGACCTACCAAGGTCACGCAGCTAATGAGCTGGGATATGAACCCAAGCAGTCTGGTTCTAGGCTCTCCACTTAATGGCCTCTCAAAGTAGGTCATCTGATTACATCACAAATCTATATAGTGAATTATTTTCAGAGGATGGCATATATGTTATGCTTCACATTAAAAACTTCACAAACCTAATGCAGTTCTTCTTGGTGATTAAAAAGAAACTTCAGGATAGCTTGTAATACTTACCAGTCATCATCCATTACGAGTATCGGATGTTGCTGATGGCCTGAGAAAAGCTTTTATGTTATTTGGATTTGATCCCCTTGATTATGATTTACTAGATGTACATGTGTGCATTAGATACTTGAACACCCTTTTGCAAACTGAATTTTCCTGTTTTGAACTTGTCTTCATCCTGTAGGCAATAAATCTTTAATACTTTGGGAAATGTTTAGTTAGTCAGCATGGACTGTGTTAGGACTCTGGCCTCTGGGGACAGTGGAAGCCTAGCTTCTGGTTTATATGTCACTTTTCCTGCCTCTTTTTCATGCAGCTGTATGACTTTGACTTTCAAGATCCTCTTCCTCCCAACCCTCCGCGCACTTGGGCGAAAAGAACTCTGCCTCTTCGGAGAACAACATCGCTGGCCTGACAGAAGACAGTTCGGCCATTGGTCAGAAACAGAGCTGTTTCATGGGCACGGCCTCCTCCAGAGAAGAAAGGCCGTTCTGTCATCCCAGAAAGGCGGTCTAAGACCACGTGCCACCCACCTTGTTTTCTTGCCAGGGTCGCATGTGGGACTCTGCAGTGGCCCCTGTGAGATGGCCGAGCAACGGTTCTGTGTGGACTACGCCAAGCGTGGCACGGCCGGCTGCAAAAAGTGCAAGGAAAAGATCGTGAAGGGCGTATGCCGGATCGGCAAAGTGGTGCCCAACCCCTTCTCAGAGTCCGGGGGCGATATGAAAGAGTGGTATCACATTAAATGCATGTTCGAGAAACTGGAGCGGGCCCGGGCCACCACAAAAAAAATTGAGGACCTCACCGAGCTGGAAGGCTGGGAAGAGCTGGAAGATAATGAGAAGGAACAGATAAGCCAGCACATTGCAGGTGGGTGGGGAACTGGTGCTGAGAGAGAGGAGGGGGAGAGTAGGACCCCATTTTTTTTTTCCTCCCTGCCTGCCGCCTTCTTTTTTGTTGTGTTTGTTTTTTTTTTT